TCCGCCTTATATGTTATGTTCCTCATGTATTTTCTCGCAAATGTCTCACAAAATATCCTTTTTAGTTTAAAAGTTATGGGAAAATTCCGCCACTAATGGATCCATGCAATAAAAATAGGAAAAATAATGAAACAGTTTTTTATTAAAAATTTTATTGGTAAAAAGGACTTAATAAATTTTTGTGCACAGAAAATATTGAAACTATAAATTTTGTATGCACGGAAGAATACTAGTACTCTAATTTAGTCATCCTCATCAATAAAATTGTTAGTGCGACTTTTTTTCTCAGTTTGCTGACAAATATTCTTTTTCTTGTAGTTAATAAATATTTTTTTTAACCTGATAGTTAATAAATAATTTGCTGCAAACACAGTTAAAAGGTTTGCAAGCAAGAGGGTGGGCATACTTTTCAAACACATATTTTATGATTTAATATTTTGATTACGAAATAAATATTAAGACAATCATGTCATGCGCTCATGGAAATATACAGATCATTCCATAATATAGTTCATAAACCTTTGACCTTTTGGACAAGTAACCTTATAAAAGCCTGGAGTTTGTTTGAGAACTTCTGCAAAATTTTGATAAAACTTTGAAGAAATGTGGGCAGAATTTCACAAAATTTTCATTTGCATACACTATGGATTGCAAGTTTCGTTTTTATTTTTTAACGTAGAAGGGTAAGGAAAAAGTTATATTTCCTCCGTTCTAAATGTAGGAGCTAGTAAATATATTTAGAGTAAAATACATTGACTATCTCTCTATTTTATTTAAATTACAAAATTTTTTTTTTTGAAATTAAAATATATATTACACAAACCTTGCTTATATATTTGAAATTCTATTTCCACCAATTTAACAGTTAGTTGACTGTTAAACTTAACTTTCAAACTTTTATTTGGACAAAATATCCCTCCTTAACAAAAACATTATTTAAATATTTATATCTAGAAGAAAAAGGAATTTTTGATACAACAAAAAATAATTATAATACATGTATTTTCAAAATTTTTAATATGTTATAAAATTTATTAATTTTGATTATATTACAGAATTATATAATTTTAATTCTTCATGATATTTTGAAACTTATTTATTTAGGTTTCTTTTAAAAGCCTGAAAAATATTTTAAATGAATATTTTTATCGTATAATATAAATTGTGTGAGTTTGGAACATTATATAAATACTTTAAACTTATAATTTAAATTTTTTTAAAATTATTTTCACAAGCATTTACAACTTATTTGAGTGATTATATATTTATTTAAATAATTAGTCAATTTTGCATTCGATTTTTTTATGTTTACATTAATTAATTATTTAATTTTCTATCCCAATATGATAAAAACATTAAACAAATAACTATTTATAAAAATAAAAAATAAAAATATGGTAAATAAAAATATCTTAAATTATTCAAAATAGTTTGAGTCAAAATTTAGGGATTCAGTATTATGAAGGGTAAATTAGTAAATAAAAAGTATTTCAATATAAATTTTAATCAAAAAAATATTTTTTAGAATATTTTTAACAAAATTAACGGTCTAAACTTAAATATATGTTTTCAAAATAAAAAGAGGTTCATGTAATTATGACAAAAATACAAAAGAGGTTAAAGTATTTTACTCCTATATTTATTTTGATTTTAAATGTAACATCTTAATCTACTTTGTGTTATGTATCTATAATTTTTTTAAAAAATTTATCCCTACAGATTGTACAAATAAAGGAGATTTTTCATCAATCAAGTAGTTTCCAAATAATTGAAGAAGATTTTTTAGGAAAATCAACACATAATTTTACAAATAACTAAGTCAATCAAATTTTTAATCTGTTTAAATTAATTATCTAAATTCTACATTTAAATGGGAGGAACTAATAAATTTCAAGGTCTTGAAAATGCTAGCCAATCAATTTACAAGACATTCATTTGCATAAACTTTTCATTATTAGCCTTATTACCATACCACATATATAAAACGCACACCGTGAGAACAATTTAATTAATGAGATTTTTCCTTATTTTCTCGTATATATTTTCTAAAAAATTTCTGGAAAACTTGTGAGAAGCCTTTTTACCTCATTTCCATCATCTATGCCACCTTCCTCATGTATTTTCTCACAAATGTCTCATGAAATATCCTTTTTAGGTTAACAGTTATGACAATTTTCATAAGAAAATACTATCTCTGGTCCCAAATATAAAATTTTGTTGATTAATGCAGTAAAATTAAGAAACTTAAATAAATTACTTCAAAGTATTATATTTATTGTTTTCCTCCAAACTAATTTACCTAACTTATAAACTGATATATAATCTAATAAGACACATATATATATTTTAGAGAGGTCATGTATCATATGCTATAATTAATTAATTTTTTTAAATTTTGATAATTAATCAAACATTCTCTTAATAAGTCCCAAGACCCCGGTGGGTTGGGGGGAAATGGCCCTCTCTTTCTTAAAAATTAAATAAAAACGCAAACTCAAATTTTCCCATACTACTTCTGTCCAATCCATTTTCAATTTCGGACCCAAATCTAGCTGTCATTCTTCTTTTAAAATAACCACAAAAAGTTTTTTTTTTTTGGGTTTCACAATATATTGCGTGCATAAAATTTTTGTGAAAATTCGGTATGAGCTAATGATAAATGAAGATTTTGTAACCATTTTCAAAAGTTTTATCTTTTTCCTTTTTCTCTAAAATTATAACTTATACTTTTACTTTTACACATGAATTTTGTAACCCATAAAAAATATAAAAATCCAGGATACCATCTCATCTTATCTATTACAATAACAATTCTTATATGGATAGATGAAGAAAATCACTTAATAACATAAGATTTTATAAAATTAATATATTATTTTCTTAAAATATTTTTAGTCTGCTTTAAATAAAAATTACTCCTAATTTAATATTTTTTGAAATTTAAAATTAAGGCCAAAAGTATATAATTGATCCTTTATCTTTATACAAGATCTTAGTTTGGTCTTTTAACTTTTAAAACAGCATATTTTTAGTCTTTTAGCCCTAATATTGTTGCTATTGAATGATGCTTTTTGTAGTAATAATAATTTTTATAAGCTAAACTTAATATCTAAGAATTTCAGAACATTTTATCAACACTTGATATCTCAATACTGTTATTTTTCTTGTTAACGGTTGTGAGGGATAAATGACTAAAAGCATACTTTTTAAAGTTGAGGAATCAAACTGAAACATAGTGTAAAGATAAGGGACCAAATGTATACTTTAATATATGATTAATAAGGAGAAGATAGACCATAAAATGGTTAATAATTTTTAGAATCGAAAATTAACAAGTATTATGAAATATAGAAAATAAAATTGTATTTTTTTTGTCTTTAATGTTTCACACTTTTTTTTTGGCCAACATCGTTAATATTTCACACAATCTTTTATTTTGAATTTTTGATCCTTAATTTATAAATTGACTTTCGATCAGCTAATTTTAGCACGATTTGTTTTGTTATATTACCATAAAAATACTGACATTAAAACTTTACTTAATGCTACATAGACATAATGCACACTCGTTTGAGCCGAGAAAGTTCAACAGAATGTGAGAAGCCTGATTACCATACCACAAATATAAAACGCACACCGTGAGACCAATTTAATTAATCAGATTTTTCCTTATTTTCTCGTATATATTTCCAGAAAAAATCCTGGAAATTTTGTGAGAACCTTTCTACCTCATTCCCATCGTATATGCTACCTTCCTCATGTATTTTCTCACAAATGTCTCACGAAATATCCCTTTTAGGATAACAGTTATGAGAATTTTCCTAAGAAAGTAATATCACCAGTCCCAAATATAAAATACATTGACTAGTTTAAAAAAAATTAAGAAAGCTAAATAAATTGCTTCAAAGTATTATATTTATCATTTTTCTCCAAATTAATCAACATGACGTATAAACTGATATATAATCTAATAATACATACATATATTTTAAAGAGATCATGTAAGATATTATCATAGTTGACAAATAATTTGCTGCAAACGCAGTTAAGAGGATCGATGAAAGTTTGCAAGCTAGAGTCTGTGCACACTTTTAAAGCGCATGTTTCATGATTTGATATTTTAATTATGAAAATAAATATTAAGACAATCGTGTCATGCGGTCATGGAAATATACATATCATTTCATAAAATAGTTCATAAACCTTTGACCATTTGGACAAGTAAACTTATAAAAGCCTGGATTTTGTTTGAGAATTTCTGTATATTTTTGATAAAATTTTGAAGAAATATGGACACAATTTCACAAAATTTTCATTTGCATCCATTTATGGGTTGCCCGTTTCTCTCTTTTTTCCCTCCCTTTCAATGTAGAAGCCTACGAAAAAAATTATATTCCTTATGGTTCTTCCCCCCCCCCCCCCCAATAAGCATACTCCTTGCAGTTATAAATTTAGGGGCTGGTAAAAATATTTATTAATTTTAAATGTAAGATCTCAATCTATTTTATCTTATATATTTATAAGCTTCTTTTCTCATACCATCCCTGCTGATTATATAAATTAACATGATTTTTCATCAATCAAGTATTTTCCAATGCAAATAATTGAAGTTCTATTAAGAAAACCAACACATATTTAGACAAATAGCTACTTATCTAGCTCCTACATTTAAGATGAAAGGAATTAATAAACTTCAAGGTGTAAAGAATTAGTAGCTAGCAAATTTACAAGACTTTCATGTGCATAAACTTTTCATTAATCTTCGACTATGTGAATAAGCTGATTAAATTAATGTTCAAATTGTGTTACGAAAACTTGAGAAAATTTTGATGAAACTTGAAAGAACATTGGGCAATTTTCACAAAAATGTTCATTAGCACACACTTCTAAGTTCTATATAAACAGAAGACCAGCTTACATAACTGAAGGCAAAAAACACAAGAAGATTGTGTGAAGAAATATGGTGTTGTTAGAGGCAAAATGAGTTCTAAGGGGCAAAACAACAAAAAGAAAGATATGGCTGACCATGCTGGGTATGGTGAAGCCTATGAGAGCTCTTCTAAAAGTTCAAGCTCAAGCAGGAGCAAGAAATCAGATGCAGCAGAGCATGCGGGTTATGGTGAAACCTATAAGAGCTCTTCTAAAGCTTCAAAGTCAGGAAAGAAGAGCAATAAATCAGCCGTCGGAGACTTGGCTGGTTATGGTGATGGTTAAAGGTGAATTGTTATAGCCTATTCATATGTCAGGTAATTTTATCATACTATCTCTAGTTAACATATCTGGTTTTCAGCACCTCCCTTCTTCCTTTTCAATTTCCTTAGGCTTGTTCCATATAAAATGATAATAATGAACAAGAAAAATAGAAAAAACAAAATATTCATCTAGTTTTTAATATATGACCTAATTTGATAGTTGATGTTGGTCCTATATGTAAGACTTATTTCACATGTTTATCAATTTTTTTCTTAAATTAACTCTATCGATATTCTTTCAACAATAATCAAGTAGGAGAGAAAGGGGAGAATTAAGAAAGGTGATTATGGTGTTTTAGATAGAACATATCATATTAACTAATTTAACTAACATCCTTAATCTATTCAAATTAATTAATTAATGAAAACCTCCTTTCCGAGAAAATCATCATACCATGCATAATAAAAATAGTTTTTTCTTACCTTTCCTCTTTTCTCAAATTCATTTCTCGGCTAGGCATTTCGCAGCCTTAATAATATTAAGAACTTGATCCAATTTTCGGGTGAGTTTATACGCTCTATCTTGGTATGCACTTGGGGAAAAAAAAATGAATCTTTTTTACTACACAAAAAATGCAAGTACTGAAAATCGGAATGAACATTAAACTAGTCAAGACAAAGGGTTAATAATAAGTGGGTCAAACTGGAGTCAACCAAATAATTTAAAATTTTATCACACCATCCAAAACTAAACATCAATTCAATATCTTAAATCACTAATAAACTAATCAAATACTTATAATTTCTTTCCAACCTTCTTTACAATTCCTTTGACAAAGTGAAATTTCAAGTTAGCAAAATATCAAACTATATATGATAACAAAATATTCCTTCCTATAATCATTCGATCACTAAGTAATACTCCTTCAATCCTAAATATATAAGACTCATTTTGTAGTATAAATTATACTACATTGAGGACCGGAGGGAGTAACTATCAATAGCTTAAAAAAAGTTTTTTCATCAAGATAGCTTTTTTTAAGGGAAAAAAATGCAACTGCTTTAACCCATCAAATCAATTAGGTTAACCAAGTTACTCTCGAGTTGGTCCGAGTTATCCCCAAGTCAAGTTTTTTTAGCTAGATGATTGGTTCACCGGTTTTCAGTTCAGCTATTATAACACTATTAAATAGAGGAAAAATTAATTCATCGATCCATAGAGTTGGATCTATATAAATAATCTGTAATATGATTGATTTTAGTTCTATTTAGACCTACATGACAAAAATAATCCAGTTTTATATTGAGCGAGAGCTATGTGATTAGCTACTAACATTATTTTTCTTACAAATTAATAAATTATAATTTTTATACATTGTATCAATTATTTTTTTATACACGATGAATATTATAATTAAATATTTTAATAAAATAGGAAAAATTAAATGGACAAAAATTATGGCTAAAACTATAAAAAGTTGCTGTCAAAAAAATTGTTTTTTGTGGTGACTTGATTAATTGCTGCTGAAAACTTTGACCGATATATAAAAGTTGCCATTAGGACAATGACTTTTCGGCAACAATTGTTTCTAGCCGAAAGTCTTTTCTATTAGTATTATTTGTAAGTACATAGACTAACATATTACACACGCACAAAATTATGAAGATCCAATAAAAAAGGAAATAATTACAATAAATTAATTAAAATCAGGTGAAGCTATAAAAACTTAGATTAAATTCTCTCAATTATAAACACGGAGTCATTACTCAACAAGAAGTATAAATAGCACAGTAAGATAGTAAGAATTAAAAAGGGATCATTAATGTTGGCAAAAAAACAAGGATCATTAATAAGGATTTTTTTTTGATGATTTAATTTAATTTCTTTTTTTTTTTTTTATGTTCAAGCAGGTTTAAAGTTGATGGGCGACTAATGCTTGGGGGAATATCAAATTCCATGAAGTCTTTTATTTTCTTTTTCCTTGTGGCTTATTTTCATGTACTGTTTCTTTTCCAATTTAGAGTCACAGATTACCGCTAATAAAATGCTTGTAAGTTATATTTTCTATGCTAATAAAATAATAGTTCAAAAAATATTATATTGTTTATGCATAAATACCATATTTTTAAATGAAACAAAATTATTTGATTAATTTATGCTATGTTTTGGCGAAAACCACCAAGAGGTGGTATCCCGCCCTTTTTCTAAAACAAAAAACCCCTCCCACCGAACAAGTACCTCACTGGCAGCCACCTCGCTGATGGCCGATGGCTGGTGGCTAGTGCTCTGGCAGTTGGCAAGGGGATGCTGATAGCGGGTCTCCAGTAAAGGCTAGGGTTTTTTTTTTTTTTTTTTAAAATGAATGGCATTTTTATCGTGTCACCACATTTTCAAAATAACAATTTAGGTTTTCTTTTTTCCGTGATTTTAAAATGTTTGCTTCCCAAATTGAAATTTCATATATTCAAGGTTTTTTATTTGTCATTTTTCTAATAAAAATTAATTTTAATTTATTTTTATAATATACTTTAAATAGATTATCAAAATAAGTTAAAAATAATTTTTTTGTTACAAAATTTTTATGATAAACAATCTCATTTTTTTGTGACATAAGAAAAACAATCTTATTCCCCACAACTTTCTCCTGTTCATTTGGTATTTGAAAAACGAGAAAATCAATTAAAAAGAAAACTCTTTTACTTTTTCATAAGATAAAATTTACTCATATAATTACCTCATATAACATAAAATTATTTTAAATAAGTTAATCCACCAAGGTTGCAAGATCACTTCCAAAAGTTATTTTTACGCTTTATGGGATAAAGTTCCTTTCATATATTTGCCTCAGGTGTGAGACAAATTTGAGCGTAGAAATGGGTGAGATTTTGGGGATATCTCAGTAATATAGAACCATAATAATAGTACTAGACATGCAAAGTAGGTTATGCCATATTTCTCGCTATCAATATGCTTTCTTGCAAAAGTCATACCATGGAAATGGAGGAAAACAACATGATAACTGAACAATGTATATAGCCAAGGTATAAATGCAAGGAGTTCAATACATTTCAAAATCATGAATTTTATCCCATCATGACATCAAGACAAATAGTAAACATACAATGCAAAGTTAACATCAAAGTTAAAAGTTCTAGCAATAAGACATTCCACATTATAATTAATACCACATCAGACACTTTCTAATCTCCTTTAACCCTTTTTCTTGATTCTTTAGGGTCATTATTTCTCCTTTGTTTTACCAACTCTCTTGGACTTTTCCTAAATTTTCATGTAAAATTTATATATAAATTTAGATTTATCAAAATCCGATCCTTTCCCTTATAATCAAGCTTGGCTGAGAGGTACTCTTGGAATTCAAAAATTTCATTTTCAATTTTAGTGTTTTCAAATCTATATTCTTCACATATCCTTGCATAATTTTATCTTCTAAACTTATTGGAAGCATCAAATTAACAAAAACCAAACCGTAGCTTAAGAGACTAGGTCTGGCCGAATTGAAATCCTAGATTTCGCAAGTTGAAATTATTTGAAGAACAAAGCTTAAACATTAGTTTTCAACCATTCTCTATCCCCTAATCTATGTACAACTTTTAAATTATTCATATCTCATTATGAACCAAATTGGACAACACGAAATCCTAAGGTTTCTAACCTTTAACTTCCATCAAAGCCATATTTAAAACCATCAAATCATATGACATCATAAACTAGAAAAAAATTCAAGTTCTTATCTTGGTTTAACACTTGATTTGGCCTACATTTTGCTTGAACTTCTCGTCCTTCTTTAGCCAACTTTCATCTCCCTTTCGTACTCTCAACTTAAACGAAATTTTGGCCATGAAGGAGGGGATGTGGTATTTATGATACAAGCCAATTTACTTTATGGTAATCTTCCACATTCACCATTAACTTTTACCCTAAAACAATTGTACGCATCTTGCTTCTTCTTCCCTTAAGATCACTCCACCTTAGCCCTTTAGATGTCCTCCTCATTCAATTCCCAAACCACCTCACAGGACACCTCATATCCCACCTATCACACATGTAGAAAAATAACTATTTTTAATTCAATAATTCTATTCTTCCAAACTTAACCTTCAACATTGTGTATTATTCTATTCATATCCACTCCCCCCTCATTTGGTACCATTTTATGCAGAAAGAATTGGAAAAAACTTTGTCCCGCTAAGCATAAGAATATCGTATTTTATAATCTCGTTATTGGTTGAATTTTTCCTGAACTCTGTTAAATTCAGTGATTTCAAAAATTTATTTCTTTGCCCAGTAGCTTTCTTTCAATATGGAGAGGTTCTCCTAATTTTTTCATATTTAATATTGACCTGTAACTCTTTCAATTAAATTTTTCTCAAAATCAGCCTTTTATTGGTATAATTTGGATTTAAATATTTTAAAGCTAACCTCCACATCTCTAGAGGCCAAAAATAATTTTAAAATTATAATAACCTCTCAAATAATTTTTCTCATTTTTTCATAAATTATTAAGACCTTTACATATTTTAAATAATTTAATTGGACTAATATTTTTCCTAATTATCCAAAATTCCCTGAAATTACAAAAAATTCGGGAATAAAATATTTTCACGCTGTTTTCATCTTTCATGCCTCAAACACCATCTTAGACTCTTTTTTTTTTTACCAACAGATGTTAGGTCTGACGTGAGAGACTAGTCTTTTATATCATGACGTCCAAAGGTTTGAATGCTTACTGAGAAATGTGCCCATATTTAGTAGCTCATAGTACTTCAAATAGAATTACCTCTTATAAGAGGATGTCTTTGCATAGCAAACAAAAAATTGTCTTCTATTTTCAAAGCGTAGGGCGCGCATAAAATTTTTGTGAAATTTCGGTGTGAGCTGATGAATATTTTATCTCAAATCATCCCCCAAAGTTTTATCTTGTTTTTTTGGAAAATTTTGAGACATGAAGCCTTAAATTTTCGTTGTTGACTTTTACATGGTCAAATATTTATGAAATGTTCATGAAATGGGTCATATATTTTAATAACTTATTTTTTATTTTTATGCATAAAATTTGTTACCCATAGAAAATATAAAAATCTAGGACAACATCGGTCGCATATTATTTATCACAAGAGCAATTCGTACATGGATGAAGAAAATCACTTAACATCAGACTTTATAAAATCAATATATTACTCGTAGTTTCCTAAAATGTTTTTAGTCTCCTTTAAATAAAAAATTACTCCTAATTTAATTTTTCTGAAATTTGAAATTAATAAGGAGGAAAACAGAAAATAAAGGATTAATACATTTTTAGAACAAAAAATTAACAAGTATTATGAAATATAGAAATTAAAATGATTAATACAAGCCAGGTCACGTGCTCTTGACAAGTTGCCTTGCCTATTTTCATCCGCAGTTTTTACTCATTTCCGCCATATATGTTACGTTCCTCATGTATTTTCTCGCAAATGTCTCACAAAATATCCTTTGTAGCTTAAAAGTTATGGGAAATTTCTGTTACTAATGGATCCACGCAATAAAAATAGGAAAAATAAGGAAACAGTTTTTTATTAAAAATTTTATTGGTAATAAGGAGTTAATAAATTTTTGTGCACAGAAAATATTGAAACTATAAACTTTGTATGCACAGAAGAATACTAGTACTCTAATTTAGTCATCCTCATCAATAAAATTGTTAATACGACATTTTTTTTCCAGTTTTCTGATAAATATTCTTTTTCTTGCAGTTGATAAATATTCTTTTTCTTGCGGTTAATAAATTTTTTTTTTTTGACCTGGTAGTTAATAAATAATTTGCTGCAAACACAGTTAAACGTTTGCAAGCAAGAATGTGGGCATACTTTTAAAACACATATTTTATGATTTAATATTTTAATTACGAAAATAAATATTAAGACAATCGTGTCATGCGCTCATGGAAATATACAAGATCATTCCATAATATAGTTCTTGAACCTTTGACCATTTGGACAAGTAAACTTATAAAAGCCTGGATTTTGTTTGAGAACTTCTGCAAAATTTTGATAACACTTTGAAGAAATGTGGGCAGAATTTCACAAAGTTTTCATTTGCATACACTATGGATTGCACGTTTCGTTTTTACTTTTTTAACGTCGAAGGGTAAGGAAAAAGTTATATTTCTTCCGTTCTAAATGTAGGAGCTAGTAAATATATTTAGAGTAAAATACATTGACCATCTATCTATTTTATTTAAATTACAAAATTTTTATCCCTTGAAATTAAAATATATATTACACAAACCTTACTTATATATTTGAAATTCTATTTCTACCTATCTAACAGTTAATTGACCGTTAAACTTGATTTTCAAACTTTTATTTGGACAAAAATATCCCTCCTTAACATAAACATTATTTAAATATTTATATCTAGAAGAAAAAGGAATTTTGATACAACAAAAAATAATTATAATACATGTATTTTCAAAATTTTTAATATGTTATAAAATTTATTAATTTTGATTATATTATAGAATTATATAATTTTAATTCTTCATGATATTTTGAAACTTATTTATTTAGGTTTCTTTTAAAAGCCTAAAAAATATTTTTTAATGAATATTTTTATCGTATAATATAAATTATGTGAGTTTGGGACATTATATAAATACTTTAAACTTATAATTTAAAGTTTTTTTTAAAAAATTTTTTTGGCAAACATTTACAACTTATTTGAGTGATTATATATTTATTTAAATAATTATTCAATTTTGCATTCAATTTTTATATGTTTACATTAACTAACTATTTGATTTTCTATCCCAATATGATAAAAACATTAAACAAATAACTATTTATAAAAATAAAAAATAAAACTAAGTTAAAGGAAAATATCTTAAATTATTCAAAATAGTTTGAGCCAAAATTTAGGGATTCAGTATTATGAAAGGTAAATTAGTAAATAAAAGTATTTCAATATAAATTTCGATAAAAAAATATTTTTTAAAAATATTCTTAACAAAATTAACGGTCTAAACTTAAGTATATGTTTTCAAAATAAAAAGAGGTTAAAGTATTTCACTCCTATATTTATTTTGATTTTAAATATAACATCTTAATCTACTTTGTCTTATATATCTATAATTTTTTTTTAAAATTATCCTTACAGATTGTAAAAATAAAGGAGATTTTTCATCAATCAAGTAGTTTCCAAATAATTGAAGAAGATTTTTTAGGAAAATCAACACTCAATTTTACAAATAACTAAGTCAATCAAATTTTTAATCTCTCTAAATTCATTATCTAACTTCTACATTTAAATGGGAGGAATTAATAAATTTCAAGGTCTTGAAAATGCGCAGCCAACCAATTTACAAGACTTTCATTTCCATAAACTTTTAATTATTAGCCTTATTACCATGCCACAAATATAAAACGCACACCCTGAGAACAATTTAATTAACGAGATTTTTCCTTATTTTCTCGTATATATTTTCTGAAGAATTCCTGGAAAATTTGTGAGAACCCTTTTTACCTCATTCCCATCATCTACGCCACCTTCCTCGTGTATTTTCTCACAAACGTCTCATGAAATATCCTTTTTAGGTTAACAGTTATGACAATTTTCATAAGAAAATACTATCTCTGGTCCCAAATATAAAATTTTGTTGATTAATGTAGTAAAATTAAGAAGGTTAAATAAAATACTTCAAAGTATTATATTTATTGTTTTTCCCCAAACTAATTTAACCTGATTTATAAACTAATATATAATCTAATGCGACAAATATATATTTTAGAGAGATCATGTACCATATGTTATAGTTAAATAATTTTTTTAAATTTTTTTGATATTATCAAATTAGTCAACTATATCTTATATTAAGCCTTTGATAGTATATTGATATGTCATGTGAAATTCTGTCACTAATGGATCCATGCAATAACAATAGGAAAAATAAGGGCAACAGTTTCTCATTGAAACTTCTTATATCAAAGAAGGACTTGATAAATTTAGTACTCTTATTTTGTCTTTTTTATCAATAAAATTTTTAACAAGACATTTTCCCCAATTTTCTGATAACTATTGTTTTCTTGTAGTTGATAAATAATTTGCTGCAGACACAGTTGAGACAATCATAAACGATTGCAAGCAAGGGTGTGGGCACACTTTTAAAGCACATATTTTATGATTTGATATTTTAATTATGAAAATAAATATGAAGACAATCGTGTCATGCGGTCATGGAAATATACATATCATTTCATAATATAGTTCATAAACCTTTGACCATTTGGACAAGTAAACTTATAAAAGCCTGGATTTTGTTTGAGAATTTCTGCAAAATTTTGATAAAATTTTGAAGAAATATGAACACAATTTCACAAGATTTTCATTTGCATACATTTATGGATTGCACATTTCTTCCCTCCCCCCCCCCCCCCGAAAATGTAGAAGCCTACGAAAAAAATTATAGTCCTTATGGTTCTCTTTTTTTTTCATAAGCATAGTCCCTGCAGTTATAAATGTAGGAGCTAGTAAAAAATATTTATTAATTTTAAATGTAAGATCTCAATCTACTTTGTCTTATATGTCTATAAGCTTCTTCTCATACTATCCCTGCTGATGATATAAATTAAGGGGATTTTTCATCAATCAATTAGTTTTCAATACAAATAATTGAAGAAGGTCTTTTAGAGAAACCAACACACAATTTTGCAAATAACTAAGTTAATCAGATTTTTACCCTCTTCAAACTAATTATCTAACTTCTACATTTAAATAAGAGGAATGAATAAATTTGAAGGTCTTGAAAATACGTAGCGAACCAATTTACAAGACTTTCATTTGCACAGACTTTTCATTAATCTTTGACTATGTGAATAAGCTGATTAAATTAATGCTGAAATTGTGTTGTGAAAACTTGAGAAAATTTTGATGAAACTTGAAAGGACATTGGGCACATTTTCACAAAAATGTTCATTAGCACACACTTGTAAGTTCTTTATAAACAGAAGACCAGCTTACATAACTGAAGGCAGAAAACACAAGAAGATTGTGTGGAGAAATATCTGGTGTTGTTAGAGGCAAAATGAGTTCTAAGCGGCAGAACAACAAAAACAAAGGTATCGCTGAGCATGCTGGGCATGGTGAAACCTATGAGAGCGATTCTAAAGGTTCAAGCTCAAGCAAGAGCAAGAAATCAGATAATCTTGGAGAGCTTGCTGGTCATGGCGAAACTTATCCCTCTTCTTCTAAAACTTCAAAGTCAGGAAAGAAGAGCAATAAAGGTGATGTTTAAAGGTGAATTGTTATAGCCTATTCATATGTCAGGTAATTTTATCATACTATCTCGAGTTAACATGTCTGGTTTTTAGCTCCTCCCGTATTCATTTTGAATTTCCTCAAGCTTGTTGCATATAAAATGATAATAATGAACATGAAAATAGAAAAATCAAAATACTCCTTTGGTCCTTGATATATCACCTAATTTGAGAGTTGATGTTGATCCTATATGTAAGAACTATTTCACATTTTTTCCCTAAATGAATCCTATTGATATTCTTTCAACAATAATCAAGTAGGAGAAAGAGGGGAGAATTAAAGAAGATGATTAGGAATAAATCATATTAACTAATTTAACTAATATCCTTAATCTATTTAAATTAGGTAATTAAGTCTTACATTAAGGATCAGAAGAGTAAGAAAAGTTCTCTCTCCCATAAATATGAAAACCTCCTCTCCAAGCAAATCATCATACCATCCATGATAATTTTTTTTTCCCTTACCTTTTCTCTTTCCCAAATTCATTTCTCGGATAGGCCTTTCGCTGCCTTAATATTAAGAACTTGATCCAATTTTCGGGTGAGTTTATGAGCTCTATCTTAGTATGCACTTAGAAAAGAAAAGAATCTTTTTTACTACACCAAAAATCTACATAATTAAGTAACGTGTATTAATCAAGTACTGAAAGTGAGAATGAATATTGAACCAGTCAAGACAAAAGAGTCAATAATAAGTGAGTCAAACCGGAGTCAACTATGGGTCAAACCGATGAAAAATAAAAAATAAAAAATAATTTAAGTCAACTTAATATCTTAAATAACTAATAAACTAATCACATACTTATAATTTCTCTCCAACCTTCTTTACAATTCCTTTGACAAATTGAAATTATAATATCATACTACCAAAAAAAAGCAAAATATCAAACTAGATATATGATAAAAAAATATTTTTCCTTATAATCATTCGATCACTAAGTAATAACTATCAATAGCTTGAAAAATGTTCTTTCATGAAAATAGCTTTTTTTTCTTTAAAAAAAATGCAACTGGATTGACTCGTCAAACCTATTGGGTTAACTGAGTTACTCTTGGGTTGGTCAGAGTTATTTCTGAGTCAAATTTTTTCAGCTAGGTGACTGATTCACCGGTTTTCAGTTTAACTATTACAACACTATTGAATATAGAAACAATTAATTCATCAATCCTTATATAGTTATATCTATATAAATAATCTGTAATATGATTGATTTTAATTTTATTTAGATCTATATGACAAAACTAATCCAGTTTTATATTGAGTGAGAGCTATGTGATTAGCTAATAACATTATTTTCTTACAAATTAATAAATTATAATTTTTATACATTGTATCAATTATTTTTTTATACAGAATGAATATTATAATTAAATATTTTAATAAAATAAGAAAAATTAAATGGGCAAAAGTTATGGGTAAAACTATGAAAAGTCGCTGTCAAAAAATTATTTTTTGTGGTGACTTGATTAATTGCTGCTGAAAACTTTTAGCAACAGCTATTAGGACCAACATATCACACACACACACGAAATTATGAAGATCCAATAAAAAAGGAAATAATTACAGTAAATTAATTAAAAATCAGGTGAAGCTATGAAAACTTACATTAAATTCTCTCAATTATAAACGTGGAGTCATTACTCAACAAGAAGTATAAATAGCACAATAAGATATTTAAGAATTAAAAAGGCATCATTAATGTTGGCCCAAAAAAACAAGGATCATTAATAAGGAATTTTTTTCCTTTTTTCATGATTTTATTTAATTTCTTTTTCTTTTTTTTTAATGTCCAAGCAGGCTTAAAGTTGGTGGGGGACTAATGCTGGGAGGAATATCCATGAAGTCTCTTATTTTCTTTTTCCTTGTGGTTTATTTTCATGTACTGTTTCTTTTCCAATTAGATTGTCAGATTACCGCTAATAAAATGCTTGTAAGTTATGTTTTCTATGTTAATAAAATAATAGTTTGAAAAATATTTTATTGTTTATGGTTAAATGCCATACTTTTAAAATGAAATAAAATTATTTGGCGAAATTAATTTACGCTATGTTTTGGCGAAGACCACCAAAATGTGATATCCCACCCTCTTTTTGTTTTTGTTTTTTTTTTTTTAAAAAAAAAGCCTCCCACCAAAAACAGTACCCTCACCGGCAGCCACCTTATCGATGGCTAGTGGCCAGTTCTCTGGCAGCCAGCAAGGGGATGCCGGTAGCAGGACTCTGGTAAGGAGTTGGGTTTTTTTTTTTTATAATAAATGGTATTTTTATCATTTCACCACCTTTTTAAAATGACAATTTAGGTTTTTCTCCTATTCTGTCATTTTAAAATGTTTGCTTCCCAAATTAAAATTTCATATATTCAAAATTTTTTATGTGTCATTTTCCTAATAAAAAATAATTTTAATTTATTTTTGATAATATATTTAAAAAGATTACAAAAATAAGTTAAATCTTTTTAATGGTGTAATTTCATCCATGATTTTTCTCGTGCAATTTCACCCCTGATTTCTTAGTGCAATTTTACAAAGATGAGGAACTAAAATTGCACCCAAAAAAAAAAAGATTATTGGTAAAATTACACCACTAAAAAAATCAGCAGTAAAATTGCATATAAGAAATAAGATCATGAAAAAATCGCACCTTTAGCCATAAAAAATTACAAGTATTATGAAATATAAAAAGCAATATTTTTGTATAATAGATATTATGAAATAGAGGGAGTGCATGAGTTTTACTTCTTAAAAAAATATTGGTAAAAGCGCATTTTTCCCCTTTATTTTCAGCCGGTAACGTTTTGTTTTGGTATCTTAATTTTATAAAATGACTTTTAGTCAATGTTTTTGCCAGAAGATAACGATTTTAAATATTGATAAAATTTTACTCAATTAGTTTTATTAACAAAAAGTGCTGACACATAAACTTTAAAAATATTGTTAAAATATTATTAAATGTTAACATAATAAGTTTAATTTTTCAAAAAAATAATTATTGGTGAAAAAGATTACTTGAGAATAACAGCGTTAGGAACTGAGAATTGAAAGGGAGTTTTATAAAATTAAGGGATCCAAAGTACGCTTTTCCTACTGTATAGAGAGAGAGAAGAGTTGAAGGCGAAAAAGTCAAAGGTTTAGGAATTAACTTGTGTATTTCTTTAACTTGTAGTAATACGTAACACTTCATGGCTCAAATCATTTCATCAATCTTGACCATGCCACATTCAACTTTACGTCGACATTTTCAGATATGAAAGATTATATCCTTCTATGCTTTATCAAAACATGTTAAGCATGTACTTATATAAGTATTTTCAAAAGTTCTGAAATATATAAGACTACCGATAGTACTTGATATAAGAGTTAGTTGGATATTCAATTTGATCTTAAATATAAGAATTTAATCTATTTTATTTTTCATATTTATCTATTTTGCTTCTAAGTAATCTTTATGGTTTTTACAAGAATTGTCTCAATGCACACTATTAATAACGATATTTTAAAAAATATAACACTCATTTATTACAAATAATTAATTTATTTAATTTTTTAATATTTATAAATTAATTATTTAGTTTCTGTATTGAGAACAGGAGGTAGTTCCATATTTTTGGGTCAAACCAAAACTATAATCTGGCCATACATAAGTTCAAGGAAGCGACCCTTTTAATTTCATAAGATGTTTAGTAGTACAAGTAATAGAAATATTCACCACTTGTCAAAGATCTTTGACTATGTGACTCTCAACCCATTAATAAACTGCAATTTTTTTTATTGTAGTGCTAAATAACCTAACAAGTAAAATAAAAATAATTATGTAAATAAGTATATCTCTTGTACTGCCACTTTAAAATTCGTCAAAAAAACATAGAAACTGTTGAATAAAAATTATAAAGTTATGTGGATATTATGAAATATAATTTTATACAGTCTAGAATCTTTTTAAGCAGCAGGAATATATATTCTCATGGATAAAATTTGAATCAGTAGGATTTGAATCTGAGCCAAACCCATCATTTAGATACATAAAATTTTATGAATTTAGATCCGATCCAAAATTCAAGCAAATTCTTTTAATTACAATCCTTTTTGAATTTTGAATGCGTAAGTCCTAATCATTTGAAATCTCAAGCATCTTCCTTTATTACTACTCAAACAGGTGATCAAGTCGCGCGAGTAGGAAACTCATTCTTATTGGTGTGAATTTTTTTCATACTACCCAACTAAAAAAAATTAAATACATAAATTTTAAATCTAAAATCCAAATTAATTCATCCAAACACCTCCTGAGAAAATTTGCACATATGAGATTCGTTCTTCTTCTTCTTTTTTCTCCTTTTGAATTTTTTCTCCGCGTGAAACATAGGAAAAATCCCAAGCGATGCCTTTCGTAACTTTCTCATGCATTTTTCTCACAGATTTCTCAGAAACTATTATCATAATAGAAGTTTAGAGAGAAATTCCATGGGGAAATTCTCTCCTGTACGAATCATAGACAAAAATGAACTAAACAACGTTAGTAAATAATGAGTTCATACCATTTTCAGTCCATAAAATTTGATTTAATTTTTAATTTAATTCATGAAATTTGAAACGGGGGACCTTATTTGAGGGACCAAAAATGTTTAGGTGAATTAAGATGATGTCAAATTTCAGGAACTAAAATTACTTATTTGAGATTTTATTAATCAAAACTAAAATTAAATTAAATTTCAGATAGTAAAAATGATATTAATTCTGAGTAAAACTCAATGAAAGCATTCTAATTCTCTTGCTCGGTTATATTGCGTAGTTGATCGTATCCTGTTTCTGTATGCTAGATTGTATTAAATAGGGCCCCTAATAATATTATGTGTTTCCGATGAATGTACTTTATTGGATTATTAGATTAAAAAAAAAAACAGAGATTGAGAGGAAAAATTGGGTTATGTGGAGATAAATGAAATGTGCAAGTTATGAAAACATACAAGTCATTTCATTAACTTTTTGACCTTATGAACAAGCAAACTTAATAAGTAAACCTGAATCTTGTTTTCGTAACTCTTAAAAACTTTGAAGAAATTTGGAAATATTTTCGCAAAACTTTCATTTGCCCATACGCTTCTGAGTTGCACATTGTCACACAGTTTTGATCTGCACACACTTTCCATGAAGCTTAATTAATTTGACCAAGTGTACAAGCAAACTCATCAAGCCTGAATTATGTTTGATGATACTAATGAGAAATTTGCACACATTTTCACAAAAATGTTGGGCTCTTTCCTTATATATACACTTCTAATTACATTCATCATCATAAATAGAACACAAGCTTTCGTAATTGAAGGCAAATAACGAAATAAGATTGTGAAGAGACAAGCATCTGTAAATCCCGAAAGAAGCTGTATGAGTTACAAGCAAAGCAGGAAAGATATAGCACTTGGGTATGCTACTTCATATCCTGGGAGTTCATCTTCTAAAGCTCCAAGCACAGAGAAGATTAATAAATCATCCATTGGAGACTATATTGGTTATGGTTGGATTTATTCAGAGTCTTCTTCTTCTGATACTTCAAACTCAAAAAGCAATAAATCAGTTATTGGAGATAGTCTTGGATATGGCTCCACCTATGGCAGTAAATAGTGAATAGTCCCTAACCATTGATTCAAATACCAGGTAAATTCATTTATTTGATCTTTTTAGGGGATCACAGCCCTGTAATCTTTCATTCCAATTAGAAGAGATCAGTGTTGATTCTTTATGCTTATCAAGTAGTTTCAAAGTGTTATGGCATCATATGTATGCCTTATATTGCCATCATTTCTTGTGAATAAAACAAAATCATCAAATTTCTCATTTATTTTTTCTTTACTTTCTTGAGAAATAAAGCTTCCGTCTCAACCCTAAAAATGTAATTCGCATTGCTTTTTTCTTCCACAAACTGAAACAGAATGAACACCACAAATTAATCAATTATTTATTTAACAGCTGGTATATACTGATCAACACAATCAAATGGGGTTGCCAAACTTTTTCTTATCTATGAATAGATACACAACAACATCATATATACAGTACCAGTATTTTCAAGTGAGATCATTTTCATCTAATGGTTCCTCTTCTTCCTCTTTAGCTGCATCAGCCTTCATTGCGCTCACATCACCTGTTGGCAGTTTCCTTGCAAGCCTGATAATCTGCACACATTTTACTCATATCATCACTAAACATTGAAAAACAGTGATAATCAAAGTTTTTGATTAATGACCATGCAAATATAAACATTTTGCGGAGTAGTTTATGCTCTTATCATCCTGCAATGAGGACTAACTGTCTTTCTAAGTTCAAAAAGTAATCATATAAGAACTCTCTTAAACAACCTTCAACAATACATACAACAATCTGACAATCCAATAAGGATCTTAAAATACGGGAAAATTCTTATCCAAAAATAATTAAGTAAAAAAACACTGGAAAACCAGCTTGCAATGAGTGGTAATTTTTGAGACATGATGTGGAGTCTTCTGCTGATCATTGGCAAGTTATGAGTGTTCAATCGCTATTTTATCCCGGGCGCAAGTTCGACAGCATTGCAACAACAGTTTACAGATTATGCATTGCATCCTTTCGACTCTAGATTGAAACAAACTAAAGACAAAATCTATGTTGAAGATAAATAGCAAAGTCTTAGATTTGAATGTTTTCCATGATCATTTCTACTCAAACTTGAGCAGTTAAGAAAAGGCCCATAACTGAATGTATTAGTAACTCTAGCTAACTCAGATGAAAGCTTTTTGGGCATAAAGTAGTAGCAAAGACAACCTCAGAAGCAAAGAGGTAGCTAACGTGAGGAAATCGATGTATATGAACTCGGACGTTTACCACATGGTCAAGATTTGAAACAGTGCTGGAATTAGCAACCCGCTTGATTTCTTCAACGTCTCCTTCCCTGTAAGCAGCAAGAAGCTTGGTAGCACAGCGATTTTGGTCACTTTTGACGAAGGCATCAATCCTAGAGACATCAAATCACGTCACTATAATTATCAGCTCTATAATGCATAAGCACAACATTACAAAATTACTCCAAATTTCTGTCTATAAAGAAGGAAAAGAAGTAAATTTCATGCATAGGATTGATGCCATCATGCTCCATGAGCAAAGAGACAATTGGAGTGGGAAGACAATGAAGCAAACCAAATAATCGTAGACAAAAAATCTTTCTCAATAAGCTACTACAAGTGTCAAAAGACTCATCACATATATAAAACGTTCGGAACGCATTTGCCGGGGAGTTTAGAAGATTATGCAAGGAAGGCCATTATATTCATCCCCTCTCCCTCCCTCCTTTCATCTCTCTAGATAAAAGCATACATGCTAACAAAAGCATTTGAGTCTGTGAGAGAGAATACAATAAAAATACGACCTAATTTCCAACAATTGGGGCTAATATTTTTATATATAGCTGCTCCGTGTATACATAGAAAATGAGTTTTCTCAATTTATTTATTGCAACTAACCAAGAACTATTTCAGGGTTCAGTAGGAGCAAGCCAGAAAATTTGGGTAAACTACCTCATTCACCACCAATGATAAAAGGTCGCCATGGAAGAAAACAGAAGGAAAACCATCATTGCAGAGAAGAGCATGCCAAGGCTACTAAAATTGCAATGTAGTGATAATGCAATTATTACAAATAGAAGGCCAAAAATAGTAAAAGAAAGATTGAATCTGAGGGGGTTACCGGTATTTCTTTGTGCATTTTAAAAGTCAGCCTTACTTAAAACCACATTGAAGGCCAGAATCAATTTCTTAATGCTTCATAATCAATAGCTAAGTAATGAGCATCGGGTAAGCCATTAAAAACAGGCAGAAACATGTGATGATATTTGAGATTGAAATCAAAAGCGACAATTTAAAAAATCGGATTCTATCAGATATACTATGAAGATAAAGCTCCTAATTCCTAAATACAATGCAGAATATGGCATAAGAAAGTGTTCAAGTGCGCATCAGGCCAACAGGACCATGTTGTGGATGCAATGAGACTGAGAATCCAAAGTCCAGTTCCACATTACATATCAGCAGATATATAACCAAACAATAGAACAAGCCATAAGGATGGAAGCAGCTTACTGATAGCAGTCATTATAGCACTTCTCTGCTTCCTTGTAATCATGGGCATAAAGGTGAACAATTATTGCGCTAAGATATGCCTGCAGCAACAAGCGTGTAAGAGAAAGGGACCTGCTTGAAGCTAAAGAAAAGACATGTTCCAGCCCAACGGCTTAAGGATATCATAGATTAAGGCGAGAAGATGAAAGCAAGAAACAGAACAGAAAGAAGTAAAATACATTGAAAAACCAATGAAATTTATCTGACATGCATCCCATATTACCAACATCTCAAATCTAAGCCAAATAGCAATAAAAAACCCAGCTTGATATTTACATTTTACAGTTTACTTCCGTACGAGCTTAGGAAACCAAATCAGACTCCCTGCATAATTTGGCACTAGAATGACATTTTATGTTAACATTAATCTGCCTCCATATGTTCATTCATAGCTACCAGTTAACACCACTCACTGACTTGAAAACTGATAGGGATAGAGCCAAATAGCCTCCTTTTCTGCTAGCAGCAAGGGCGGATTCTTACAGGTTAATGATGCCAGCTATAAATTATCTACCACCTTCTCCAGTATTTCAAGTGGTATATGTATATTAATTAACCAAAAAAAAAAACCCTAGTTCTATGCAACCCAAGAGTTTGAAAAAGAGGGAAGACGAAGAAGCTTGAACACACTATTGGTCCTTTTCGTTCGGTCATCACTATCATTCAACATCATGATGTAATGATATTAAATCCTTTTCCATGGTTCACTAAAAATAATGAATGATATCCTTCCTAGTTTTAACTACATACATGTACAAAGGAGTAAACTAAAATGATATAAAATTTGTAATGTAAAGACCTTGCATTGGGAATTGGTAGCATTAGATTTGTCAGCTGATAAGCCCAACCTTATGAAGACAGATGCAGCATCTGTATACCTGCATATTTTAAAACCATAGTTCAGTATAAATGCGAATCCACATACCCGTGAAAAATTCATGCATCTTTAGACTTCCTTGCAATAACTTGTATCAATATTAAGTTCCGGGAAAAATAGCCCTTAACTAGATCCTTGCCACCATAGATTTTCTCGATTAAATTAATTTTATACCGAAGAATCACAAATAAAAGACAGGACACAATATGAACATTGTGATACTGCAAGTTATGTGGCAATGTAACGGTATTTCAAGTGTTAGGTCATGTTTAAGACAGGCATTAACCATGTATTGAATACATCGCAAAACCCCTTTTTTTAAAAGTATTGGTACTTCAAGGCAGGCACATGGCTTGTACGCACTTCAAACCTGAAGGATTTTGTGCGATGAGGCATGTATAAAATTGTAGAAAAATTATTCATGGCCCTTTACTTTATATCCCAGTCTTAAGTAAATAGTCTTCAACACGTGATCAATATTCAAATACTTGGAGAACCTATGGTTCCTAACTTCTAAGATAGCATAGGAACCTAGGGATATCCTTTTCTAAACAATGATGACTTAATTCCTTGATGTCATGATGGAAGATGTAGTCAATTTGTGTGGTTACTGATGTGATTGTCAACATTTTATTTCTCACATTAGTCCTGGCATTTCTTGGCTATACGAGCCTTATTTTCCTTCCTATGTTGCTGAAAATTATTTAGCAGGTCTATCACTAACATACTCCTATATGTACTAATACGTTTCAGGGTGAACATGAGTTGTGCCACAGCCATATTCAGTATCCTACAGCTTTTCCTTTTCCTGGCAATTGTTCTAGGAATTGCCGCCAGAATTGTTTAGTGGCGACATATCACCAAAACAATCGGTTACTCAAAGAACTTGTTTCTCAAACTACCTAGAACCCTCAAGTGCTAATGCACAATTTAGCGGTACTGCATAATGCCAAAACAATCACCAACTCGGTCCTTAATTATCATCTCTGTGTGTGAATCACTTTTAGCATATTAATGGCCCTCCAACCCATCTGTTCTACAGATCCTAACATTCGTTTTTTAGAGTCTTTATTTTGCTTCTTGTTCTAGTCTGACTAACATGCTATCATAGGTAATAAGTTAAACATCTGAACTGGCAGCAGGCATGAAACCATTATGTTCAAATGGAAATTTTTGCAAGCTTGTGCCACATATGAACATATGCTCGAATGCAGCAGAAATACAGGACCTTGCATCCATTGATCTTCTAAAGTAGGAAAACTGCTCTATTTATTAGGTACAAGAATGTTAGCTCCATACATATCATATTATACCTTTGACAATTCAGCAGTAATATTTGACTTCATCATATATGTCACCTTATATAAATAAGATCAGCAGAAAAGCATCAATGGCCATTCAATTGCATGAAAGACAAAAGCTAACATTTTAACATCAAATTAATACAAAACTTATTGAGTTTACTCCAGTTAGTGGCAATTAAGTGGACAAAGACGAATACTTCATATCCCATAAACAAACCAATGAAATTAAGATAATCTTGAGTTTGGAGAAAACTTACTTCTCAAGTTTTATATAAACATTGGCGGCACCACGATATAGATCAAAAGCCATTTGTTCTCTTCCATCATCTTCAAGAATTGTATAAGCATCAGTATACAACTCAATTGCCTCTTCTGGCACAGAATCTTCCAAAGCACTGAATAGGGAAGATAAGACAGGAATCATGAAGAAGAGATAAGCAAGCTATATGCATAGGCTACATGATACACCAAGATGAAGGATATAAACAATTTACTCTTTTGAGGGGAAAAAGAAAAAGAAAAGAAAAATTTGTTGCTCTTTCTCTCTGATAGCATCTCTAAGTACCTTAATTTGATTGAATGGAATAAGATACAAGAGTAAAAGACCCATGATATTACATTTAAAAGTCTTAAATCAATGACTAGTAATTATTTATTGTAAAATTAAATTCATCATATCAAGCCATGATCAACTTTAAAAAAAATATAAAGGTTAGATAATTATCCAATGATTATTAAGTAAAGGTCCATTGAGCATCTACATCATGAGTTATAAAGTTTGTGAATGTCGCCTCCAACATAAAACTGGGAATAATAATGAGAATATAATTGCAAAGCAGAAGTAAACTATTTGCTTACCGGGCTCCCTTCGCTAGAGCATCTGATGCAGGTTGTGGTCTCCCACACTCGATGTACAGTTCAGATGCCCTTCGATAGAAATCCCCAACTTCTTTCCAGTTTCTTAGATCCTTTGCTAGACCAGCAGCAGATTCCATATGTTTAGCAGCATCCCAAGGTCTAGTTTGCTTGTGAAGGAAATATCAAGAGAGACAGTTTAATGCAATGGATGGATCAACATTATGGAAGAGCTAATTTTGTTCAGGGACAAGGACAATTCTACTCTAAAAAAAAAAATAAGGATACGAAGAAAGCATTTCCTGTCCTTTCGAAGCTTTCTCATAAGCTTCTTTTGCTCTCTCATAATCCTTGGCAATTCTAAATCCATTTGCTACAGTAGAATAAAAAGGTCAGAAGATTTACGAATATGCTTTCTCATTTTTGATGGACTGGCCACAAAGTCAAGTGCATGTGAAATTAATAGTTTAGAAAAGCATATTTTTTGTTTACCAGCCTGCTCATACAGGGCAGTAGCATTTTTCCAATCTGCACTCCACCTTGTAAGAGTAAGCTTAGTTCTGCAAGGAGGTAAGGAAAAAAAATTAAAAGGAAAAAAACAGTTAACTAAAGTCACAGAAAGAGACCCAAGAGTTGCATGGAATGCTTCCTTTGTAACTTCAGTAATTCCAGCAAATCAAATTCAGTTGAGAAGCATTAATCCCGATGAGATATACATTTATAATTCAAAACTATTCTCTTTTTTTTTTTTTTTTTGGACTGAGATAATTCAAAACTATTCTAAGTGAAAGTACTTTATTTTTAATTGGGAATATGCAAGAAGGAAAGCAATCATTACTTTAATTCCAAGTAGATAAGCAGTTGTTTACTACTTAAAAGATTCAGAAACATTTGCAGCTAAGAACTTTATTAATTCCCAGTTCTTCTTAAGAGACTTTATAACCAATGAAGAGAGTATGACCCTAACAGTTGTTGACTCTGCAGGTGCAGCATTTTTCTCCAATCACGGCCACCGCAAAGCAACAGTTAAAGAGCATAATTAAAGCCCATCAATCGATCCTACAGATCAGGTCTATACCAGTCCGAATCGAAAAACCAAACCCAGATGAAAAACCACTAATCTGAGAGAAGTTTTTAGTTGTTTTACAAAACCAATGACCATTCAAATCAACTGATCGGGTATCAGATTCTAGCATTACGCGAAATTTCCCCGGATTTGATTTCGCCATAGATGGCCCATAAAACTGTGCATCGCAAAACTTTAAGGGATTTAACAGTTTCTGTATGCATCAATCGATGAGAGAAATGAATAGCCAAAACGAGAAGGATGAACTCACAGCTTGTCAGCTTTGCTCATCATCTTGTGGGGATCAGAGGCCGCCATGACTGAGCTTGCTATGATGAAGATGGGTCTTCCTGATGTCTTCGGGGTTCCCTGTAGCTTATAGTTCTTTTATACAGTTTGATCCTGCGAAGCAGTGAAGCCGGGGGGGTTGGCGTTTGTTAAATGGGTCCATTAATAGCGTTCCACGTGGCACAGCCCGGGTCGCTGTCATCTTCTCCCCAGACCACAGGTCCCGTGTTGGGAGGTTTATTAGTTTCTTAAAAATGAACAATATTTTCTCTGAAATTTTAAACTATTTCTTTCATTTTTATCCCTATTATTTTGTTGCCAGCATTTTTATCCCTATTAAACAAATATTTTTACATTCATTATCAGATTTTTCTCACTTTTGCTCTTCACAAATAAAGGTATATTTGAAAAATAAATTACCTTTTTAAAATGGAAAAAAATAAAAGAAGAAGCTTGAAATTATAAAATCCTAATTTAGACACCTAACACATCAAAATGACAGAAAAGGAAGTAAACTTAAATTGACATTTTGAAATTCAAGAAAAATGATAAAAAAAAATATCCTTTTTTTAAGGGAAAAAAAGGTTCAACCCCTCGTAGGGGATCAAGTGAAGGCCGGCAACTGCCACCAATGTGGTGGCTATCGATAAGAGTCATTTTGGGGTAAATTATTTTGGGAAAGAGGTGGAGGTGGATTTTTTTCCTACATAAAGTGAAACATATAAATCAATTAAAAATAATAATACTTCATCTAGGAATAACAAATCTTGATTGTGAAATAACAAATTTCGAGTTAAGATTCATAACACATTTTTTTCCTAATACATAACATGTAAATTAATGAAAAATGACAATGAAATTGAGAAATAACGAATTCTGATTATAAAATAGCAAATTTCAAGTTGGAATTAACAAGTTTTTTTCCCCTTATATGTAACATGTGAAATAGGATAGTAATTGATTCAAGAAAATATTTTTCGCACAATTCGCCTACAAATAACAAGTTTGGAATGTAAAATAAAACCAAAAAGCATTTGCAACTTTTAATTTTCTCTTGCCCTAAAAATAAATTTAAAAGCATTTTTAATTCATAATAGTTACACTAAAAAATGTTTATTTTTAGGAGGTTATCTCTAATTTAGAAAGTGTTTTTCCCTTTTAATTTAAAATTATAAATATAATTTTCAAATTTAAAAATATTGATTTTTGAGGACTTTATCTATAGTTTAAAAAGTTTTTAACTTTTAAATTAAAAATCATAAAAAATAATTTTTAATATTACTATTATAAAGTAAAAATACTTTTTTAATTTATTTTGGTAAATTTATACTTTTTTAAATTATAAATAATATAACTATTATAATAAAAAACATGTTGCTAATTTCAATAGGAGACTTATTATTTCACAATTAAGATTTGTTATTTTCAAATAAAGTGTTGTCATATTAAACTAATTTATATGTTATTTCATGTTATGTATTAGAAAAAATGTATTGTCAATTCTAATTTAAAACTTATAATTTCACAATTACGACTTGTTCTTTGCAAATGAGTTGTTATCGTGAAAGCCTAAGTAAATGATCACCATTACTTTTGTTGGCCCAAATAATCATTAGGTGGTGGATCAAATCCTACTCCTATGACTTTCCTGAAATAACTTCCGCCCAGCCCCAAAAAAACAAAAAAAAAAACTCCTGCCAATAGCTACTATGCTGGCAGCCAGCGTTGGCATCTGCATGGTCTCCATGGAGCGTTGAACTTTTATTGTTAAAAAAGGGTAATTTTGTCATTTGTTGAATTTCAAAATGTTAATTTATGTTTACTTCCTTTTCTGTCATTTTGATGTGTTAAGTGTCTAAATTGTTTCAACAAGATTCATTGTTATCACCAAAAAGGGGAGGAAGTTAGTATCCATGTTTTGATAATTACAAACAAGATTAATTGTTTCAACAATATATTTAAAATTGTTTTTTTTGAAGTTGAATCAATATTTATTGATAAAGTTATTGGTAATTTTAACTATTGATAAGCTTTTTGATAATTCATTGATTTTCAAAGACAAGAGGTCTTTATCGATAAGATTATTAATGATAGAGTTTATTGATAATGAATCTGATAATTATGCTCAAATTTTAAAGTTTTCCATTTGATCACAAGTTTTTGATTTATCATTATCCTTATCGATAATTTTCTTTAAGGTTTTTGATAATAAAAATTTTGGAAAATTTTCTAAGTCTTACACTGTGTGAGTTACTTATTGATAAATTTTTTTAAGACAAATGCCTCTCAGAAATTATCTTTCAAAAATTTTCAATAGTAATTATCAATAAGATTATCGATAATCTAGTTTATCGATAAAGCTATCGATAACTTGTTTAGTTTAACTCTGAAATGGAATTCTTTGTGTTTTCTCTTCAATATCTATCGATAAAATTATCGAGAAATGCTTTTATCCATAAGATTATCGATAATTGTAGTACTTTGGTAATTTCTCATCTTTAGCTTTTCAAGACAGTTTCTCATCTTCAACCTTTGATAAAGTTCACAATAATCTAACTTGATACTTTCATAGATTTATGATTTATCGATAAATTTTTCTATAAAATGGATTATCGATAATGAACTTGAAGTTTTTATTCATTCCTGTTTCATCTTCTTTAATAGTTATCGATAAGATTATTGATAATATCAGTTATTGAGTTCTTTGTCGATAATTAGTCTTTCAGTTCTAATATTTGATCTCCAAGCTAAGATTTACGTGTTTGAATAGTGCTTATTGCTCATCATTCACCTATTCTTATCACCTTGAGTTACAAATAACATGTTTGAACAAGATTAATACAACGCAAAATGGTTCAATAGAAAAATGACGTGCTTAAACTACTTTTTTTAGAAGCAATAAATGCACCTTAACCTTTAGAAGCTACCAACATCTTCAACTACTTTTACAACAATAATATTGCCTCAAGTTTAACAGATAGTTAATGAAGATCAACTATAAGTAGATGAAGCATTCAATGAAGCAAAACAAGAAAACAACTACTACTTTGTCGAATTTATTGCTCCTAATTATTGCTCTATTTCATTAAGTTTATCTACTATCTTCAGTGTTCATTTATTACTCTGTATAGAAAGATATAATTAAACATTTATTACTCATTTGAGAGTTATTTGAAATATCTTACCTTTAACCCCTCAGTGTATGTGTTTGGAAGCGTTATGGTTTAAGCAATTCACAAAATAAGCCCATAGGTTGAACTTTGTGTTGGATCTCGGGTTACTATTTACTGGTTAAATTTCAGATTCTCAGTACAACTTTGAGCAATCATAACTCAGCACACACATCTATTTTAGGTGATCTACCACTTGTTTTAAAGCTTAGGTGTATTTAATCATACCAAATTTAAGAGCAAAGTTAGTCATTTGTCATACTTCTACTCTATCACTAATTTGTTGCTCAATTAGGGATAGCTTATCTCCTAACTTGCACTAACAGTTCATGGTTAGGACTTTCCATACATAATACCATTCTATTCATACATTAACCGTTCCCATACATTATCATAGCTAATTATCTAAGCCAACATCATCATTTATCATCACATACCATCAATGGCATATTTACAACATATATTGGTATATACAGTATATAACGTAATACAACAAATTTCTCCAAATCTTTTCTTCTTTCCTTGCTTCCACTTCATGTATCCTTCGCTTGATCATATCACCTATTATGGTTGGTTAAGGGACGGTGAGATTCGAGAGAATCTTAGTAGCAAACATTACCATTTATGCATGTAAGATGGATGCAAGTGCATGACATGCTTTTGTGCACATAACTTTATCGTTTATACATGGTGAAATACTATGGAAAGTAAGCCAGTTCATTCATATTAACATAACATAACGCCAATGCATGCTTAACTAAACATACAAATCATAATTTAGCAGCATAGCTTAGTCACATCATGGCATTCATAGCACATACGCACATACACATCAAGCACACAAGAAAGGTAAGTTCGCTACCTTGTATCCTTAAACTTTTTTCTTACTCTTCAACTTGCTCCCTTTTGCTTCCAACCATTAAGGTTGCTTGCTCAACCATTGCCATTCCTTTTTCTTGATGTCTCATGGCCCTAAATACGCCAACACATCATTTTCATTCTTTCATTAGAACCATGGTAATCAACAACATCAATACTTTGTTTTCTTTGAGCTAGCTTCTAACTATTGAGCTTGATTTCCAACCTTTCTAACATTCATTTCACATGCTATTTTCACACAATTTTGTATGTAGAATCCATTTCTAAACTTAAAATAATCAAAATCAAACTCCTCCCTACTCAACTTGATCTGGCCGAACATAGGGTCTCAGGGCTCAACATTCCACTTTCAATTCTAATGCTTCCAAACTTGTTTTCTCACCTTTACCCCACACAATTTTTCATTTTAGACACATCAAAATCATCAAAATCCAATTCTAGTCCCAAGAACCAGCCCTGGCTGAAATATTACTCAGGTTACCTAATCATGAAGTTCAACCAATTTCAACATAAAATCACTTGATTTGTATTCCTTTCAAGCCTTTGAACATTATTCTAACATCAATTTCATCTTCCCCTACTCTTAAGAATTTCGTGTAGCATAACCCCATAAGGTTTCAAGCTCTCAAAAATCATTACAATCCATAACCAAGCTTAACAACAACAAGGGTAGTGAACACTACATTAAAAACCATAAACATACCTTGTTTTAGAGCTTGATCTTGCATGAGACCACTTGACCTTTCTTTCTCCCTCTTCTTTCTCTCTCTAGAAATCATTTTGCCAAAGCTTTCCCAAGGTCTCCTCTAGGTTGGACGAAAATGAGGGAGGGGAGGGGGTATTTATAGAAAACAAGACTGAATCTGTGCCGTCTATTTCTCTTTTAATTTTATATTGACAAGTGTCATATGACATCATGCTTACCTCATCATGATGGCATCATGCTTACATCATCAATTCACATGCTTTTAATCCAACCGTACACGTATCTTGCATCCGATTGTACACGTATCTTGCATCCGATTGTACACGTATTTTACATCTGATTGTACACGTAATACCTCCCATA